GGACCCAGTCCGTGTAATTGCTACCATCATCTTTCAACTTTGCTTTCTCAAGGAACGCATTAAAATTCAACGGAACAATAGCACGAGCCATCTATCTACAAACAAACATAGACAAGCAAAATACTATCAGGTACTAAGTTCATGATAAATTTAAGTTCAATTAATCATATTACTAAAGAACTCCCACTTAGATAGACATCTCTCTAGTCATCTAAGTGATTACGTGATCCAAATCAACTAAACCATGTCCGATCATCACGTGAGATGGAGTAGTTTCAATGGTGAACATCTCTATGTTGATCATATCTACTATATGATTCACGCTCGACCTTTCGGTCCCCGTGTTCCGAGGCCATATCTGTATATGCTAGGCTCGTCAAGTATAACCTGAGTATTCCGCGTGTGCAACTGTTTTGCACCCGTTGTATTTGAACGTAGAGCCTATCACACCCGATCATCACGTGGTGTCTCAGCACGAAAAACTTTCGCAACGGTGCATACTCAGGGAGAACACTTCTTGATAATTAGTGAGAGATCATCTTAAAATGCTACCGTCAATTAAAGCAAGATAAGATGCATAAAGGATAAACATCACATGCAATCAATATAAGTGATATGATATGGCCATCATCATCTTGTGCTTGTGATCTCCATCTTCGAAGCACTGTCGTGATCACCATCGTCACCGGCGCGACACCTTGATCTCCATCGTAGCATCGTTGTCGTTACGCCATCTATTGCTTCTACGACTATCGCTACCGCTTAGTGATAAAGTAAAGCAATTACAGGGCGTTTGCATTTCATACAATAAAGCGACAACCATATGGCTCCTGCCAGTTGCCGATAACTTCGGTTACAAAACATGATCATCTCATACAATAAAATATAGCATCATGTCTTGGCCATATCACATCACAACATGCCCTGCAAAAACAAGTTAGACGTCCTCTACTTTGTTGTTGCAAATTTTACGTGGCTGCTACAGGCTTAAGCAAGAACCAATCTCACCTACGCATCAAAACCACAACGATAGTTTGTCAAATAGACTCCATTTTAACCTTCACAAGGACCGGGCGTAGCCACACTCGGTTCAACTAAAGTGAGAGAGACAGACACCCGCCAGCCACCTTTAAGCACGAGTGCTCGTAACGGTGAAACCAGTCTCGCGTAAGCGTACGCGTAATGTCGGTCCGGGCCGCTTCATCTCACAATACCGCTGAACCAAAGTATGACATGCTGGTAGGCAGTATGACTTATATCGTCCACAACTCACTTGTGTTATACTCGTGCATATAACATCAACGCATAAAACCTAGGCTCGGATGCCACTGTTGGAGAACGTAGTAATTTCAAAATTTTCCTACGCACACGCAAGATCATGGTGATGATATAGCAACGAGGGGAGAGTGTTGTCTACGTACCCTCGTAGACCGAAGCGGAAGCGTTGACGCAACGTAGAGGAAGTAGTCGTACGTCCTCCGATTCAACCGATCCAAGTACCATTACTCCGGCACCTCCGAGTTCTTGACACGCGTACAGCTCGATGACGCACCCTCGATCTCCGATCCAGCAGAGGCGCCGAGGGGGAGTTCCGTCAGCACGACGGCGTGGTGACGATCTTGATGTTCTCCTGTTATAGGGCTTCGCCTAAGCACCGCTACAATATGACCGAGGTGTAATATCGTGGAGGGGGGCACCGCACACGGCTAAGGAACGATCAATGATCAACTTGTGTGTCCTAGGGTGCCCCCTACCCCCGTATATAAAGGAGGGAGGGAGGAGGTGGCCGGCCCTAGGGGGCGCGCCATGAGGAGGGGGAAACCTACTCCAAGTAGGTTTCCCTCTCTTTTCCTTATCTTATTTGGAGGGGGAAGGAAAGAGTACTAGTATTAGGTAGTAGTACTAGTAGTAGTAATAGGAAGAGGGGGAAGGAGAAAGGAAAGGGGGGGCCGGCCCCCCTCCCCAATTCGGATTGGGCTTGGGGGGGCGCGCCCCCTTTCCTTGCTCCTTCTCTCTTCCTCCTACATGGGCCCAATAAGGCCCATATACCTCCCGGGGGGTTCCGGTAACCTCCCGGGGCTCCAAACTTCTCCGAAACCTTTCCGGTGTCCAAATATATCCGTCCAATATATCAATCTTTATGTCTCGACCATTTCGAGACTCCTCGTCATGTCCGTAATCATATCCGGGACTCCGAACAACCTTCGGTACATCAAAATACATAAACTCATAATATAACTGTCATCGAAACCTTAAGCGTGCGGACCCTACGGTTCGAGAACGATGTAGACATGACTGAGACACATCTCTGGTCAATAACCAATAGCGGGACCTGGATGCCCATATTGGTTCCTACATATTCTACGAAGATCTTTATCGGTCAAACCGCATAACAACATACGTTGTTCCCTTTGTCATCGGTATGTTACTTGTCCGAGATTCGATCGTCGGTATCCAATACCTAGTTCAATCTCGTTATCGACAAGTCTCTTTACTCGTTCTGTAATACTTCATCTTATAACTAACTCATTTGTTACATGCTTGCAAGGCTTAGGTGATGAGCATTGCCGAGAGGGCCCAGAGATACCTCTCCGACAATCGGAGTGACAAAACCTAATCTCGAATTATGCTAACTCAACATGTACCTTCGGAGACACCTGTAGTACTCCTTTATAATCACCCAGTTACGTTGTGACGTTTGGTAGTACCCAAAGTGTTCCTCCGGTAAACGGGAGTTACACAATTCTCATAGTTACAGGAACATGTATAAGTCATGAAGGAAGCAATAGCAGAATACTAAACGATCAAGTGCTAAGCTAACGGGATGGGTCATGTCAATCACCTCATTCTCCTAATGATGTGATCCCATTAATCAAATGACAACACATGTCAATGGTTAGGAAACATAACCATCTTTGATTAATGAGCTAGTCAAGTAGAGGCATACTAGTGACTATATGTTTGTCTATGTATTCACACATGTATCATGTTTCCGGTTAATACAATTCTAGCATGAATAATAAACATTTATCATGATATGAGGAAATAAATAATAACTTTATTATTGCCTCTAGGGCATATTTCCTTCAGGCTTCGGTGGCTACACTGGTGGAATGAGAGGTCGCTTTGGTGGCAACATGAGTGGCATGGGAGGTGCTTCTGTTGGCAACATGAGTGGCATGGGAGGTGGCTTCAATGGCAACACGAATGACATTGGAGGTGCTTCCTATGGAGGTGGCAGCATCGATGCATCAACGCATGAAAACGTCGGCAAAGAAACCATTGATGATGATGCAGCCAATGTCCACAATGTGACTAGCGATAATGGAGAGGGTGAAAATTGAGATGCTATGTTGGATATTATCTTTATGTGCATTTTAATTTGTTGGACGAGAACTTTGATTGATCTGATGCACTTTTGGTTGTTGGATTATGAAATATGTTGCTATGGAAGTTGAGTTCATGTTAGATCTGAAAATATTGCTCATTTACATGTCTATATAATGATTTTGATTTGAAAGAGTGTGGTTGTACAGTGGCTGGAGTGCAGTTGTAGTCTGCCGCGACCGTCAGCCGTTTTACATTTTCAAATATGCATCATCTGATGGAGCACTAGTTTTACATCATCAAATATACATCATTTGTTGGAGTTGGGACTTTTTTCATGATGCAAATTATACATCGCCTGCTTTTACATCTTCAAATATACATCTTCTATTGGAGATGGGAGATGCTCTTAGTGAGGCGCTGATAATGGAATGGAATTCCCAATTATTTAGTCAAGAATTGGCACAATCAAATAGGCTAGCGTATGCAACATTCGCGTAGCTGACTTCTCCGAAGCAGACAATTCATTTTTATGAAAGTTAATTTTAAGGCCCACCATTTGATCAAAAGCTGAAAGCAAGAGGTATTCAGATTTCGAGGCTTATCCAGGCCGTGTTCCATAAAAAGAATCGTGTTGTCAGAATATTGCAGAGTCGATAGGTCACCACCCACAAAGTGTAGCGCTACTCCCGCAGAGTCGATCGTCCTGCTTAACACGGTCAATCAAGATGGCCAACATGTCAGAACAATGTGGAATAACATTGGCAACATGGGTCACTCTGACGTAATCCCTTTTTTTCGTGGAAGTAATGGCCAACGTTATCATTAACTTTGATGGCCGCACTACCTCCAGTAATAAAATTTTGGATCCATTGCCGCCATTTAATTGCAGGGACGGGAGCAAGGCGGTGAGACTATTATTCCATCTATAGGGCGCCGTAGTCGCCTCGCCTTCTTAAGCAGGACACAAACCCTAAATAAACTCAAAAGGACCCCAAAAACGAAGCATGGGCCGGGATCCACCGCGCTTTCATGGCCCTAAGGTCACATCATACTAGGCAGATCATCGGCGGTGGCGAGAGTCGGGGAACCCTAGACGCGTGAGAGCCGCTCGTGTGGGGGAGGAGAAAAATGTTTCCGCATAGTCTCTAGTCTAGTTAACAAATTGGTGCTATTAGTCTGATTACATACCTTGTTGGAGCTTATGATTGCTTCGAAATAAATTTGTCTTTCAGGCATGCACTTTGCGAAGTCTGGAATGCATCCTGGGTTAGTTGGACAGAAAGAATCCTAGTCAGTGTGTAATTGCGTATAACTCTTTGTACGTTTAGCATTACTGCATGGTGATTTCATTCGTACACCAGTGAAAGATACTCTGTGTCGATGCTCTCTGCTGCTCGGATGCTCACGGCTCCTGGATCATCGCCCTACTTACTAGACCTCGTTGAAATGGTTGTAGCTTTGGGTATGTTTGGCGCATAGGTGCAGCCGGATCTCCGACGGCACCAGCAAATCGGCCACGCGCTACGGTTTCATCATCCTACTCTACCGGATCCTCTCTGCAAAATACTAACTAGCTCAGCTTTATTATCACTGGGGCACAACACAACTCTGTACAACGCACGCCATTTCTTTGCTCCCACGCGGTGACTACTCATCCCGGCCGGGCCGGGTCAGTCGTACGCGACGGGGAGGTAGGCGTCGTGGGTGCACCGCCTCCGGGAGGACAGCACTCGCGCTAGCTTCCGGTTGCAGAGCTCGAACGACGGGGGCGCGGCGGCCGGGGGCGGCGGGGCCCTCGGCCGGAGCCCCAGCTGCCGCTCCAGCTGCGCGAACTCCTCGGCGCACCGCACCACGTGGTCGTAGCAGATGTACCGCCCGCCGGCGGCGGTGGCGCCGCCCATCGCCTCGTACACGCGCACGTGCGCCTCCGCCACCCGCTCCACGTCCGCCGTCGCCAGCAGGCCCTCCGCCAGCATGGTGTGCGCCCCTGATATATTTTCATCAAAGGAACAACAGTCTGTCAGTGCTCTGAGGACAATGCTGGTTCGGTCCAAACACAATGGGCAGACAGAAATACAAACCTTTGAGGTAGGCGATGGAGGGGGTGGAGTTGCGCCGGCGGAAACCCGGCCCGGTCACCAGCGCCGGGCAGACCGTCACGAGCTTCAGGTCCCGGCCCCGCGCCGCCCTCCACGCCGCCTTCTCCGCCATCGTCTTGCCAAGCGCAAACCACAGCTGCAGAATTTTAATTTGATCGCACCGTTAGATACATACATTGCCTGTTGATCACATAATGGGGAGTCTGCTACAGGTTTTTCAGAGTATCCCACCTTCTTGTCCCGGCAGAAGGCCTCGTCGCTCCAGCAGCTCTCGTCGACGGTGGCGGGGAACCGGTGGCGGTGAGGGTAGCTCTGCCTCCACACGCAGGCCAGCAGCGACGAGGTGAAGACGCACTTCCTCACCGACTCCGTCCTCACGCACGCTTCCACCACCTGCTCTGCCGCCTTGGCTTCCAGAGTCGCCATGTGTTTCTGTTCAAGTTAACATTAGAAAAGTTATTAAGCGAGCCAACTTAATTTGGAGTAAGACCCGGTCTAATCAACATTCCAAGAATCTGTCTGCAAAGCACAGGTGGTGTAATAATGTAGAAATAAGAGGTGTTCTTAATATATTTTTTTCATGTTTGAAAAACAGCCCAACTGATTTTAGAGGACTATATATATACAATCACAAAATTTGACTCAGTGGACCTTTTGATTCTTTCAAAGGAATGACAAAGCTGGGAATCCAGCAAGACTACAAGACACAGAAATGGAAGTATTCAACAAGACTAGTAGCACAGGTCTACAACTACTCTCTGTTGGACCTTGAACAAGTTCTCAACTCATCATAATAAACTGAAGGGCAGGTATAACCAGATCAGCACCGACGGTCAATGGGCTGCAGCCAAGCCAAGTCAACTTTCACCTGATATTTTGCGCAAAGTACTGCTTTTCTTGGCGCATACTGCAAGTCTGCGACCCGGTATGATCGACTTTGGAAGAACCATGTTGGAACTTTCAGAGACGAAAGTGCTATGGATTCTGGCATAGAATGTCAAAAAAGACAAGACAGAGCACCACCTAACCAATTTATTCTATCACCTTGTTATTGACCCAAAAGGTGCTAAAGTAGAGCACCAGGAGGCTGAAGCTACTCCGCGCATCGGACAAAGCAGAGGCAGTTCTCAAATTTTCATGTTGCTCTTCGACAGGATGAGCTTTCGACAACCGAAAGAGCGACATGATGCCTTTCATATCTACACGTTCAAACCAGCAGCAACTCAAGCATAGGTTGTACTCTTAAAAGTACAGGTAAAGGGCATGTGGACTAAGTATCCAGGCCAGATGCTTTGCATGATAAGTAATCTAAAGTGCCGGTGGAAATCACATGCTATGGTACTAATACAAACCTAAATTATGTTTCATCGTGCATTTTTTTTCTCAAGTGTATGCAAAGCCAAGATAAATAATGCAAACACATAGTAGCATATTACAAAGCAAGATCAAGAGCTACATCCATATCTATGATGAGTCTGCTGAAGCAATGGGTGTCAGCATCAGGCATGATCCAGTAAAGGAGGCCCTACATCACCAATCTGAGTGGATTTGGTAGTTCCACTGTCAGACGCCATGCGAGCATGCGAATATAAGATATAATTGCAACCATTTTGGGGCTTGATTTGGACTACTATGTCCAACCTATTTCCATCATATATCTGGATTTTGGAATCAGTAGGCTGTAGGCCCCTACCGCCACTGGTTTTGTAGTGGGTATGCTTAGCAAATGGTTGGATGATTACTTCTTACTGCAGCGGTCATTTGAGATAATTCTTTGATGCTTTTGGTCGGATAAAGCGCAACAGAAAAATGTAGAAAGAAACTGAACATAAAAGAGCTTCCAGCAATTACATCTGAAAAATCAAGCACTGCAAGTACACAAAGCCTATTGTGACATCAAATTTTCATAGCCTCATGAAGTTCATAAATCAATGGTTGTTGGCAGGATTCAATCGGAGGTGAACACCACGCCAACCAATCTTAGTTATATAGTAGATGCACATGATACGGATGATGTAGCCAACCAAGGTCCTTTCCTAGGATTCATTGAAGGATAAGCATCGTGCATAGTTCATACTGCAAATGACCATGAAAATTAACGAATTCTTACTCTTGTGATCACATATTGTGATAACACCGCTCGAAATAACCCAGCACAGTACAAGATAGGGGTTGTCGCTAACTTGCGCAACTACTGGCTGCGAGGTGTACAGGTATTAGATATGAAAATTCACCTCTCTGTAATAGCAACTGACTCCCGCTGAAATGTAAACGACAGATGACTGATTTGATATGATTGCCGTGTTGTTTGTTAGCTATGATGTCCCTTGGTACTTTACATTTTGGAGCACTAGTACAGTCCTCATCATGTTGACACCCACCTATATCGCATATGTCCTTACCAACTTGACACCCACCTATTCCCTAATGTACCACCTCTTTGCCTTCTTCAAGAGACAAGACAAAAGTTTTTGTGTCACAAGTTGAGATGTAGGAGCAGTGACACTGTCAATAACAGCATCTTCCTTCCGCAAACAATCAAAACAAGCAGACGAGCTGATCCAACATATTTTGCACGATGATTCTCTCATGATGAACTTTTGGGACATATATCTACCTATTTTAGGAACGTTGATAAGGGGTTGTGTGAGCTCACCGTGTAGCCGGAGACGCCTCCTGGATCCACGAGTGATGAGGTATGGAAGACACCAACACAGCCATCGAAAGCTCGGTGCAAGCTCTCCGGATCCATGACATTTGCCATAATAGTCCAGACCCCATCCCTACCATTCTCGCCGAACAAATCCATCTCCCTCAGCTTGTCCAGATCCTCTGCCAAAGAAAAAGAAAGTACAACTTAGTTTTAGAGTTCAACTTGTCAGTAAGAGTGAGCTATGAATGGGCTAGCATGGCATCACCAATTCATAAGTGCGTAACTCATCAAGCTGTAGAAAATAACCACTTTCGACAGTAATTGTAAAGAGGCAACATTGTCAGACACATTTTTACTGACACAGAATAAGGATCAGACACAATGTCACACGGATTATTTTCACAACTGCCCTTCTTCTGTTCCAAAAAGGTGCAAGTAACATGGGCAAAAGTTACACGCATTTGGGTGAATGTTCGAGAACATGTGCCCACAGTTTCTTATCCTCCTTGGTTAGGAAACTATGCCTTTTAAGACTGACAAGCTGCTAACGGACAAGGAATGACACATCAGTTAACTTTAGGTAGCATATTAATTCCCCCCAAATGGTCCATTCAAGGAGGTGGTAGGCTGAGGTGATCCTATCAATGAGAAACTACTAAACAAAAGGTGATCATCCTATCAGTGAGTGACTACTAAACAAAAGAGGAGCCTTATCAGAAATGCAATTCACATATATACACCTTAATTGCCCCAAATAAATAATCATATCCGCCGGAAAACGACTACGGTTGAATTTCTTTGTGCTGATGTGTGTGAAACAGCCTTGATTCTTCCCCAAAAGAAAAGAAAATAGCCCTAGTTGGTAGAGTTGGCTGGTGTACAAAACAACATCAGTACATAATAATGCTACTGTGAAAATCGATGTTTCCTTGTGCTCCATTAGTTGACTATAAATTACCTTGGCCAGGTCTACGCCGCGTAAACGGAATGGGCGGTTTAACACCGCCATTCGGGCGCTTTCCCCGCAACCGATGAGGGAAAAGAATGAAACTCATGAACCTTCAGGAGCGAAAAACCGGCGCATCCCTTATGCATGACTCTCCCCAGGCCCTTTCGCCTTTCACCCAAAGAGGGTGAACCCTGAACTGACCGATTTGGTTCTAACGCAAAATTTTCTTGTGGCCGAGAAGAAGTGCATTGGTGGAACGTCAGCTGCTACCGAGGGCGACGTGGCCATGAGCTCCGGACGGATTGTGATGGAGATGGACCAATTTGAACCAACAAGTCCATGTCTCTGGCGGAAAAACACACACCTGCGCACCAAACACATGGACACGTCGCTAGCGGCGACGTCGCCAGCGCCTGGTCGCAGCCCTGTTCACCGGCGGCGACGACGTACCGGTTAAACAGGAAAATGGGAGGGCCCTGGTCTGGTCTGTGGTGAAGAAAGTGAGTTGAGATTATCTTCTTGTCCCCTATGCATCTAGGCACTCCGAATAACCAAATCGCCATGGGCCCCGTCGCTGTGCTTGCTGTGCTTGCCCACGTTTTCGGGCGGGATAATGGGCTCGTAGTGCAGCTGTGCAAGCTACTCTATGTATCTAATTTAAATCCGGGGAGCAGAATAAGGCACGCACGTGTGAATCCACGCCGCGACGCAAGCATTGCGGAATCCGCCGCGAAATTTCGAAACGGCGGGGGAAGGTGGCCAACTCTCTCTCGGTCCGTCCGCATGCGGAATGGAAAAAGGAAAAAAGAACACCTAAATTCCCCGTCCGTGGAAGGAAGACGGTCGCATTTTTGAATTCCGGAAAATGGTCAAGAGTCAGCGAGGCAGGGAGGGAGAAGGGACGGACCTTGGGTCTCGAGGGCGAGGCGGACGGCGTAGCCGTGGCGGAGGAGGCGGTCGACGAGGGCGAGGCCGAGGAAGGAGATGCCGCCCGTGACGCACACGGCGCGCGCCTCCGCGGCGCCCTCCTCGGCGCCGGCCCCGCGCTTGGCCGCCGCGGCCGCGCCCCGCCGCCGCCAGCTCCACGCGGGGCCGGGGCCGCCGGCGCCGAGCAGCAGCGCCGCCCGCATCTCCTCCACCTCCGCCGCCATGCTCTGCGTGCTCCGCAGCACCCCCATGGCGGCTTTGCTCCGTGTCACCTTGCCTTGGCGTGGCCGCGGGGGCGCGGGGGCGTGGCGTGGAGTGGGGGCTGGTGGTGGTGGATCGTGTGATGATGGGTGGGCGGGCGACGTGGATATATATATAGGGGACGACGGATACCACGTCGTCGGCTCCGGACGTGGTGCTGGGCTGCGCTCCGTGTCCTGGCTCGGCTTGTGTCCAACTCGGCTCGGCTTCGCGCGCCGTACGTGCACTAGTCTTAGTGTTCCCTCTCTTATTTTTTTTCAAAAAAAATTAAAGAGAGGAGGGAACACTATATAGAATAATCACGCATTTGGGTGCCGGTTTAGCAGGAATTATTCGAGTATTTTGTATGGTCGACGACGTTGGTTCGATTTCCACACGTTGAGCATGTGATATCCATTAATGATCATATTATCATATATACAACTATACAAGTAGACTCTCCTATCTCGGTCGTGGTTCATTGGTCCCCTTTACAATTTATATCAATTTTTAACCGCAGATTTAATTATTAAAATGTTAGTGCATGTTAACAAAAATTATACGGACAAACTAACGCCCACACGTGTGGGGCGTTTGCACATCGCCCACACGTCTTCATCACCACTCATTTTGCCACATATGAACATATGACATCAGCAGAAATCTTTTTGATTTTTGGCTTAAAAATGTTTTATCTCCTAATTAAAAAAGCAAATTAAAATTATGTTTTCACCATTAAATCCGTCTCGACGAGATCTTCAAAACTAGACCCATGTTGATATGTTTCGACGAATTTTTTTTGCCCAAAAGTTGCCATGATGTTTACACTGTAGTTGCCATGTGCTTAAACTAAAGTTGCCATGTGGCAATTTTAGTTTCTAGATCATGGCAATTTTAGCTTTTGATGATGGCAATTCCAGTACTTTGACCATGAAAATATTTTTTTGCATGAACCATGGCAATTTTAAGTGCATGTATCATAGCAATTTTAGTTTATGGTGCATGGCAAGTCTAGTTTCTTAATTCTCCATTTTATAATATGTTAAAATTTACTTTTTAATATAGAAGAAAATAGTTGAAACATAACATGGCAATCCATGTGCAATAGACATGGTAACTTTTAACCAATTTTTTTTGTCAAAATATATTGATATGAGATCTAGTTTTGAAGATCTCGTCGCGAGGGATTTAGCGGTGAAAACGGATCTTCAATCGAATTTTTCATTTAAGAGATAAAACATTTTAAAAGCTGAAAATCGAAAAAGATTTTCACATGCATGCATGCGGTGACATGGCATAGTCTGTATGTTGTAGGACGTGTGAGTGGGTTTGGCTCCCACCATTCGTGTGGGCGTTAGCGTTGTCCAAATTATATCATTGGATTCGTATTTAAACATTGTTTTCAATAATATAATTTTTAGTGACATGCATGAATATTTTGTTAGTTAAACTTATGGTCAAAATTTGATATAGAATGCAAAGGGGACCAATAAATCACGACGAAACTAGTACCTGTTACGGTCAGATAGGAGTATACAAGTAGACTCTAGTTGTTGTTTGTTTTCTTGCAGGGCACTCTTGTTGTTGTTATTACAATCAAATATACAAGTAGATTTTTTTTTCGGAAAAATTTCCAATCTATTCATCTTCAATCATGGCAGTACAACGAATACCAGAAATAAAAATTACATCCAGAATCGTAGACCACCTAGCGACGACTACAAGCACCGAAGCGAGCCGAAGGCGCGCCGCCGTCATCGCACCTCCATCGCCGGAGCCAGACACAACTTGTTGTAGTAGACAGTCGAGAAGTCGTCGTGCTAAGACCCCATAGGACCAGCACCCCAGAACAACAACCGCCGCCGATGAAAAATAACGTAGATCGGAAGGATCCAAACCGAAGGCACGCGAACGTAGACGAACAACGACGAGATCCGAGCAAATCCATCAAAGATAGATCTGCCGGAGACACACCTCCACACGCCCAATCAAATATACAAGTAGATTTGAGCCACATGTAGTCAATTCAAACTTGTGCGCAGTGAAATGTTATATGTTAAATTTGCCGAAAACTCTCTAGTCAAATGTACATTTGTTCACCTGAATCTTTTCCGCGATTTCTGGTTGTTATATGTTGTTTTTGCCGAAAACTGTGGAGTCAAATGTCTGCATAAACTAGCTCGTGGGTGGCTTGGCCGCCATTAGTTACATTTTTTGTGTGTGCATGGCATAGTTAGCCTAGATCGCGCAATTGTTTAGCTTTGACCCCTAAAGCCAAAACAGCAGTCCGGTGTACATGTATAAGGTATTCACACGTGACATGTATGTAGTACATATATGTATATATAGTACTCCTACTATATAAGGTACTACAGCATCAGCCCGGTCGGTCCGTTTATTTATTTCAGAGAAAAAAAGAAGCTAGTTGGTTCCTTCGCCGTGGCATTTGTCCGATTCCAGCTACCGCGCCGGCCGGCGACCGCGGCGGTCTCTACTTACATTGGCTGCGGCGGAGCTGGCTGGCCGGGCCGCTTTATCTGGAACGATTAGGATTAGATCGGCTTGGCCATGATTCATATCCTAGCTAGAGACCGAAACAAAACCATGGGTCTGGCTAGATTAGCTAGGTACTAGTAATCTAGTACATATCAATCGCTCGACGTGCTCTACTAGTCTAGGCTTTTTGGTGGGAAAGAGACACGATGCTCACTCCCAAAAGGAACTGCTGGCCTTAGTTGATTAATTAACTAGTACAGTACTGCTTTCTCACCGTATGAATGGTCACTAATCACGCCGTTAGGGACACAAATCCGCCCGTGCCGTGGTTCCCTTCTCATCGGTTGTATTTTATTTTATTTTTTTACAAAATCTCGAAGTTAATGCTCCACGCACAAAAATAACCAACCACCCCGCACGAGAGAGGCGGAAAAGGAGGAGAAACCGCTGCCCCTCCCTCCGCCGGTGAAGCCGGTGGTTTCTGGCTCCACCTGTCACTCCGGCGGCGGCTGGGGGTGGGGACCTCGATGGTTTGGCTTGGGCAGGTGGTTAGGGTTGGCATCGTTTTCTAATGTCAGGGTCTAGGTTTGTTGGGGCGAGACTCAGATGACGGTGGCGGCGGCGCCTCGTTCAACAAAGTCTCCCCGGCTTCGGTCCCATCTAGACCACGATGTCAAGAAGCCTGTGGGAGTGGTGTGGTTCTCGAGGATTTCTTCTGGCTGTGAGTTATTCCTTCTTCGTCTCCGGGGCGGATGTGGTCTTCTAGATAGACCCGTTCGACGACTTCTTGTCCGCAACCAACAACTTCAGGCTGGCTCAGGGTGGAGCGGCGGCGGCGGCCCGCCATCAACACGGTCTGGAGGTTGAAGACGAAGGGCATCTCAAGGATTTCATTGTAATTTTCATTTTTGCTAAGGTGCATTGTACTGTTCGATGTTTCTTTTAATGCCATGGGTCCTTCTTGCACAAAAAGCTCGAAACTATATTGCCCCTTTCAGAAATTCCAGTTATATCATCCTGCCATTCGCTTCTAGAACGAAGAGTCACTCTTCACCCTCACCATGGCAAAAGACTACCTTTCCGTTCGTGCCCGGGCCGAAGAGTCCCTTTTTCATCCACATATGCAACAAAGACAAACTCTTCGTTGCTGTTGTAGCCGAAGATCAACTCTTCGGTCCCCAGCTTGGCCGAAGAGGCTTCTATGGCACCTCATCACGTAAACAGGGAATGAAGTTGCATGCCACTCTCAGCGCGGACAAAAGTCAATTTTTTTCATGGTTCCCTTCACCATTCCCTTTCCCTCCCATTCTCTTGGGGGCGAAGCCATTAGTGGAACAGACGCGGTCCACCCCTGGACGCGTCCACCGTGGCGTGTCAGGCAAGAAAGAGGAGGAGAGGGTTCGAGAGTGAAGGTGTGGCCTCTATGGAGTTGCTAGACAAGGCTAGGTGTCGAGAGCTCGAGGAAACAGACGAGGCAGAGGGCCCCAACTCCAGAGCACGCGTTCGTCCATGCCGGCCACGTAGTCACCGTGTGGCCATGGCATTTACAGGCGTTTTGGGCAGCCCGAGTATGTCTGGCAGGTTGGTTACTCCCCCACTAGCTGCAAGGTGCAAAGAAACAACAACAATGGTTCTAGGAGGGACTGCAGGAGGCATAAACCCTCATTAGAAGAAAGGTGTTTGATCAGAGGTGTGGGCAATGCACTAGTTCAATGGACCTAAGTTTTGGCTGAGGATGATCATCCACTAAGGTGATCACTATGGACAGGTTTCAGCTCAAGAGAAGGGGTGTAGCTAGCACTTGCTTTGCAATGTGCCATACTGGACAGAAATAGGAAAGTTGAAGTTGCACTCACATAGATGATTGGATTGAACTGGAATTTTTTGTAGAGGAGTTATATGAGTATATGAAGTCACTGTAAAAGTTTCATACCATTTGGATAAATAAAAATGGTATTTCCTTCACAGTGGTCCTCTCTAGAGAGGAACTTAAGAGAATTTTAGAGGATTATTGGCTTAACGAAATGAGCTCATATCTTGTGGAGAGAGGTTATATAGGTAAGAGAATGTCCTGGTAAATTTTTAGAAATTATGGAGCAATATAAAATATAGTTGTTTCACAAACTGAAAATATGACCAGAAGCAAAGATTGGATAGTGTGCTCACCATGAGTATTAAATATTGAATATTTTTACATATCCAAGGTTCATATGGTCCAAAGGAATTTTGAGATTTTTTCACAACCTAGGGCAAAAGGAGTTATTCCTTTAATAGAAAAGGGAATACTCCCAAAAACTAAATATTGGGATTGGGCTAAGATGGAAACGACATGATCTTGAGATGGATTTGAGGATTACAAGCCACTTTCAAAAGGAAGAAGAGATAATCTTCTTATACTTCAAGACCACAGAGCCACATAAAAGGAATTCCAAATAAAAATCCAAACAATCCAAAAGAAAAAAAGGGCCCAAAATCCAGGGTGTCACATTGCCGTCTTGCCCCATCCATATCTAGA